AGGTTCTTCAGATTATAAAAAGGTAAGAAAGAGATGGTTCTTTAAAGAATCTTTGACTGAATGGTTCTTTGTGGAACCAAAAATGGTTCTTCTATGGCATCGCTTGAAGAACCTTTTGAAGCACCTTTATTTTTAAGAGTGTACTGCAAAATAAAATTCCAGGACTTTCAAGGACTTGCACTACTTTTTTGGTTTTCAAGGACTAAAATCAGATCTCACTTATTAATCAATATTATTATTATCTTTCAAATTCTAATAAATAAACTAATAAAACAAAACGGTACAAATAAAGTGCAGCACATGCAAAGAATGCAGTGACTGTGGCAACTTTAACATTTGAAAGGATACTATGGCAAAGTTATCGCTTTCCTTATTCAAACTGATTTTTCATGAATATATGGTTGACCTGAAGAATGAAAGCTATATCATACACTTGGAAAATCATGAGCTTTATCACACTCTTAGACACTTGGGGTGTGACAATACACTTAGCTCACAAGGTGAGACAAAATGCAGATACTTGGTTCACTAGAACGAGACAATGTTTTAATACTTTAAAAGACAAATATTTTGTCATTTAAAAATTTCTTAATCACAAAAAGTAAAACAATGCCGTTGTATTTTGAAATGTTTGAACTAATCTAGTGCTTAACTAATTAGTATTTTGCTAATCAGGTAATCTAATTATTTTGACAAGTGAGTACTCTGAGATTTTTTAGTAATACAAATAGAACTAAGTGGAAAAACAGGCTTTAATATGACTATATTTATATATAAAGTAACGATGAGGCAATAATAATTGGCCTCAAATAAAGTATCAAAACCAAGTACATGGTTTTATTGAACAACACTGTTAAATACATAATGTAATATGCCTATATTATTTACTGGTAAATTACCGGGAAGTTACCATTAAGAGATCATGTGTGAACATGACCCTATGACCCTTTCACAAATCCCGGTAAATTCGTTCTGGCAATCATATCGCTCTTATGGAGATGACGTGATTACTCTGAGCTGTCTACAAATCTCCGCTGCTTTTTAAATAGCTTTTCTGTGTAAATATGACGCTAGATGGAAATCTTTGACCATTGGGCCTCGCAGCTTTTTCAATGTGTCACGCTCAAGACCCAGGCTTCTTTTCCATTCATCAGCTAATGCGCGTCTCGTGTTTATAAGAGCAAAACATTCTGATTGGCTAGTAATGTTAGTTTGGTTGAGAGTGAAAGCTGTGTTCCTCTCATACATTGGTAGGCGAACTCATGAACTCAAACGTGATATCAAGAAGTGTTTTTAAATGTAGGACGACTTTTTTTTCCTGCAGCCAAACACTGCACGCCGGAGATCCGGCACGGTGCCGGAGAACTTTAAGCCCTGGGTTTGTGAGGTACAAAGGTGCCTGGTTGTTTAATGATTTATATACAAAAATTTAATTCTTATATTTAATTCTAAAACAAACAGGGAGCCAGCGCAAATTTGCAAGTACCGGAGAGATGGAATCATATTTCTTTACCCTTTTTAGAAGCCTCGCCGCCGCATTCTGAACTGATTGTAATCGAGCCAAGGATGCGGCAGAGATGCCCCCGTACAGCGAGTTACAAAAATCCAAACGTGATTTTTGATCCAATTTGTACTGCTTGCTTACTAATTGTAATAAATAAACTGACTTGTATTTATATAACAGAAGTCTGCCTCCCCTGGCATTAATTTATAGCTAAGAACAGACCACGGAGAAGTCTTCTGTGACCTGTTTTGTAAGTATGAACTCAGATGCTTATGAGATAGGACAGATTTGACTTACTTTACCTAACCTGAGAATAAATAAAATAAGGTAGAAGGTGTAGGAAATTTAGCACCATAAAACAACACATAAACACTTGAAAAACATACTCTGCAATGTCACCCCACAGTTAGCTTACCCGTAAAATCAGTAAACACTAGTGAGATTACAATTTCGCAACAGAGCTCTCAGTCATTGATTTAATGATTATTTCAAAAATGTTAAATTAGACAAAATTATAAATATTTAGGTGCCTTTATTGAGCTTGCATTTATCAAGTAATATGTTTCTTGTTTAGATGTGATGCTTGGTTATAATTTTGTGGAATACTTGATTGTGTTTCTGAATTGTTTAATGTGAGTTTACTTGTATAAGCCACTTTTTGTGTGCAGTTATGCTCAGTAATGTTTGTATGTGCTGTAACAAATCTGTTTGCTTCAAGATTAAAGTTGTTTACTGATATAGTGCAACAGCAATAAAAATACATTTCACCAGAAAAATACCAACTTTTTTGTGTGTGCAATAATAATCAATAAATAAATGATTAGTGTATCCACTTTACATTCAAGTTTACTTTGACAGGTTTCTAGCGATTGTAACTCATTAATAAATTGTTCACAGGTGTTCACTTTACATTGAGGTTCACTTTGACAGGTTACTAACGTTTATAACTCATTAATAAATGGTTCACAGGTGTTCACTTTACATTAAGGTTCACTTTGACGGTTACTAATGTTTATAACTCATTAATAAATGGTTCACAGGTCTTCACTTTACATTAAGGTTCACTTTGACGGGTTACTAATGTTTATAACTCATTAATAAATGGTTCACAGGTGTTCACTTTACATTAAAGTTCACTTTGACAGGTTACTAATGTTTATAACTCATTAATAAATGGTTCACAGGTCTTCACTTTACATTAAAGTTCACTTTGACAGGTTACTAATGTTTATAACTCATTAATAAATGGTTCACAGGTGTTCACTTTACATTAAAGTTCACTTTGACAGGTTACTAATGTTTATAACTCATTAATAAATGGTTCACAGGTCTTCACTTTACATTAAGGTTCACTTTGACGGGTTACTAATGTTTATAACTCATTAATAAATGGTTCACAGGTCTTCACTTTACATTAAAATTCACAAGTAACTAATATTGGATTTTAAAATTTTCATTATTAATAGCTCGTGAAGTCATTGTTGTGTTTTATGTCCCTTATCAGTTTTGGTCCCAGTTTATATTAGGTGGCCTTAACTACTATGTACATACATTTAAATTAATCATTTGGTACAATGCATTTATTGTGTACACAAGTTTTTACATTTTACAATATATTTATTAAGCCTTTATAACATGTGAATTAAAAATGGCTCACTATTTGGCAGGTATTGCATTAAAATCACATTTTTTTAATTCATGCATTTATAACTGCTTATCAATGATTTATAATGCATTTGTAAATGAGCTATTAGTCATTTATGAACACCTTTATAAACACTTTATAAAGGAAACCTTAATGTAAAGTGTTACCCATTCTTCTTTAATTGATGTATTCACTTTATTGATTGTATGTATTCTTCTTAAATGATATTTTGTTGTGCCTGGCGAAATAAATATTTCTTGATTCATTTTAGACTCTGAAATCATTATAACTAGTAAATTGTAAGGAGGCTTTTGTTACTGCAAATCTACGGCCAGGATAGATCAAACTGAAGGCTCATGAATGAATTGAGAAGTAGGCACTTCATCTGAGTCCTTTCGATTTCTGTCTATTACTGACGTTAGCAAGTTGTACAGGAAAAAACTACACATTTTGTCAAGAGCAAGCAAGCACAACTAACATTATGATTAAAATACAAATTGCAATAGTAATTTTAGATGTTATAGTCACTTGAATTTAATTAGAATTCAAAGTTTTAATTAATCAAGTGATTTTTTACAGAACCACAAGAAAAGACATACAATACACGCAGGCTGCTGAACTTCGCTTTTCCTTACATGCGCAGTGCTTCAGCTATTTCTAAATCATTTATATCTGAGTTTTTTGTATAGGGAGGTGGATTCCTTTTCTTTTAAGATCTACAGTGTTTTTTCCTCCTGTGTTGAGATTAGAGAGGGAGTCAGGGAAGCATATCTGTATTTTATTTTCTTTAGTAGGAAAGTTATTCCTTGGGGAAAAAACGGGGGGAAAAAACAAATATGCTTTTCTTAGTTATTTTGGCGTTTTCCCCTTCTGAAGCCTTTGTTTGATTATTTCCCGCAGTTTATTTAATAAAATATCTAGTGTTATATTGAAACTGGTGTTGCTGAGCATTTTGTGTATCTGCCCTGGGACCTGGAGACGGCAGCTCTCTCACTATTCTAGATACACACCTCTTCCTACCTCTGGATTTAAAAGGGGGCATGTAACAAATACATGTAAAATAAGTGTAAAAGGACATTTGACAGGGTCTTTTTAACAAATACATTTATTGTGTCTTGACTGATGTTGACATTATTTGTATTGAGTGAAGTACTGGATTTACATGCATTAATTTACCACATGCTCTTATCCAAAGCAATTTACAACTGAGGAATGTAACAACAAGAAAATCATCATAAAGAGGCAGATAGTAATAGAAAGTTTCAGACATCGTTCGGATTAGTACAGGGAGGGATTAAGGAAATGTGAAAGCCTTTTTTTTAATAGGATGCAGTTGAATGTTGATGGAAGAGAGGAGAATTCAAGTCTCTTGAATATTGTCAGGGATTCTGCATTCTGAATAAGGGTGGGAAGATCATTCCAGCAGTAAAGAATAATGATTGAAAATGTTTTGGAAAGTGATTTTGTGCCTCTCTGTGATGGTACCACTAGGCATCACTCACTTGTAGATCTCTGAAGGGGATGTAGATCCGTAAGAGTGAGTGGAAATAGGAGGGAGCTGAAGTGACGTGGGCCCCTTTAGGCTTGTTGAAGATCAGACGTGATGCTGCATTCAGAATCAATTTGCTTTTTTTTTTTACCATTGATTTGCATATAGGTCAGATCAACAGGTCGTAGATTTTAAATTTACTCCAACCATCTGATTACAAGCATTGAGCTTTAGCAATGTCGCCTCATGTTTACATATTCACGTTTATTTTATATCATCAGCCATCTATTATTAATGTATTTTTTGGATGATAATTGAGATTAAGCAGTTTTGATTATAAATGTTTAGTTTTATTAATTAGGCCTGTGTTCAGAAATATGTTGTTTTGATAATTTCACAGTATTGTTTACTGAATCGTTTTTTGTTTTTCTTCTTTTATCCTCTTCTAGTGTATGAGCTTTGCTCATCTGAGAATGTAATAGAAAGTCATCTTTGACAGTGATGTGAGGTGAATCTGAGAGTCTCTGTTCTCTGTCCACTTCCCAGGTAAAGTTTATGTAAACTGTCAATAGCATACCGTTTTGAGTATGCTCTCCATTCATATGGGATCCGTCCCTCTCCATCAAATGTTTTATTGTAGTATTTTTCCAGGTTTTTCTGGAATCTGCACACAAACCACTTCCAGTAGGGCAGTTCAGAGAGGTCAGGAGTGATGCTCCAGTCTGCATAAACTCCTCCTGCTCTTCTGTAATCTTTCAAATTTAACCATCCATTGGGTGATTTAAAATTAAGATCACTTGCCACTAAATCTGTGCAAATATTAGCACAGAGATTCCCTGTGTCTGTGAAATACTTTCCATCAATTCCAATCACTCTGTGTAAAGGAACACTGTGATCTCCATCATGGTTTTTTGTGTCATTGGTGCAGATGGCTTTACAGAACAGACACTGAACCCAACAGCACTGACAGAAGTGATCAATCAGAAGCTCATCTGGTCTTAATTTATAGTCCAGCTTTACTGGAAATGTCTCTGTGTTGAATCTACTGCTGATGTCAGACATTATATAAGTAAGTTCTTGTCTTATCACATCTTCTAGGAGGTTGAAATCATCAACATCATCATGTTTGACTCCACTGAGGTCTTTTTCAGAGAAGATCAGCACATCTGAGAGCTGCTGTCTGAAACTCTTCAACCACAAACCCGCATCTCCTCTGTTCATGTGAACATGTTCAGTAGATTCATGAGCTGCTTTCATGATCTTCTGCTGCAGGAGTTTAATGTTCTCCTCCATCTTGGGTAAAACACTGACACTGAACTTATCAGTGATGTACTGACTGACTTCATCTCTGATGAAACTCTTGAAGTGATCTCTGGGATTATGAATGTAGTTCATGTATTTGTTAAAATCCTCCTCTTCTGCCAGAGTCTTCAGGATGTGTTTCTCCAGATTTGATCTGCTTCCATTCAGAGATTCACAGTTTGATCTCATTTCATCTGTCAGATCTCTGGCAGTCTTCTTGTAGACGCTCTGCTCAATGGGCTCTTTAAGTTTCTGACAGATGATCTCACCAAAAATGGCAATCAATGTTGCTCCATGACAGTGTTTCTGGAAGATACTATAGTACTCTTCTCTCTTTTTCTCAGTATAGAGATCGGGATCATTGGCTTCCCTGAACAGTCTGTGTTGGTGAATAAAAATTGTGTTTGCTCTGTTACAGATGAAATAAACCAAATCCACAAAGAATTCTTCCTGAAATTCATATTTCTCACATTTTTTCTGATGTTCTATTACACTCTTCCTGATGTAATCTGTGAGTTGTTGAATGTAGCTGATGTTGTAGCCCTTCTCTGAAATCTTAAATGACTGAATCATTGTGTCTGTCTTCTGAACAACATCTTTGACAAATGATTTTATTTGGGCTTCATCTTCTGGAGTAAGAGTTGACTCCTTTACATCTCGTTTAGTGCAATTTTTTGAAGACTTTCTGAAAATGACATATTCAGAGTAATTTGGGACAGCAAGAATATTGTTGTACTGGTTGCCCTGTTTGCAGCAACTGAGAACCTGTGTCACATCATTCAGTACGTCAGTATCTGTGATGATCTTCTTCACACTGTTTTCCCAAATCAAGCCAAACTCCTTCTTTAGTGTTTCTTCATCATTTGCTTTGTCTTTGAGTTTTAAGGCAAGTTCTTTGCTCTTTTCAACGAGAGTGTTTTCAAGTTGTTTCCTCTCTTCATTCTTTTTCTTAAGGTCTCGATGTTGAAGAATCTCATTTAATTTCCCTTTTGTCTCTCTCACAATGTTTCCCTGAAGATCTTTGATTTTGGTTTCAAAGGATGTTTTCCACTGAATCAGTATTTCTGCATATGCGTCTTTCTCAAAAAATTCTGACATTGATTTTTTCACTTTTTTACTTGTCTTGTTCAGTTCTCTTTGAAGATCAGTTTCCTCAACTTCATGAATTGCTTCATTTTTTATTTCGTCATGCAGTTTTTTCTCAATTACCATCATGGCATTGTGAAGACTCCTGGACCACTTGCTGTATTCATTCTCCAGTTTCCTGTTGGCTGCAGTCTCCAGAGAATTTCTGAAGCTGAAGACAAATTGTTCCTTCAGTAAAGCCTCCCAGAGATTTTTTATATGATCTTTGAGATGTGTCAGACTCATTTCATGTGATTTTGAAGCATGAGATATAATAGTTTTCTTTAGTTCTTGAATGTTCTCACAGTAGTTTGGGTTTGGCGGTGCCATGGGTGGGTTTCCCTCCCAGAGCTGAGCAAAATACTTCACGTCTTTCTGAACATCAAATTTAATGACATCACTGAAACGTTCTGCATCACAGCCTTCCTCTTCAGCTGCGAGTTTTGTAATTTCATCCAGTTTCTCCTGCAGTCGTCTCCTTCCCTCCATGTTTTTCTCTCTAGCTGTGATGTCTGAAATATTCTGATGCACAAACACACAGCTGGGATTCAGTCTGACCTTCTTCATCCTCATGAAGGCCTGAACAACAATCTGAAGAATGTCCTGCATCTCAGCAAGGTTTTCTCCAAGGATGTTGATCAGCGTTAGATTTGCAAGACCTACAACAAATGTGGCCAATTCATTGTCATGATCTCTTGTTGATCTTCCAGCCAGTTCTGGAGCATGAAGACCCTCAGTGTCAACAACCAGAATATAGTCAAATTTGATCTGTGTTTTCATCTCGTCTGAGACTCTGACCAGCTGCATGAAAGCTCCTCTGGTGCACCTGCCAGCACTGACGGCAAACTGGAGTCCAAACATGGCGTTCAGCATGGTGGATTTCCCAGAGCTCTGAAGCCCTAAAACTGACAGCACAAAGACTCTCTGGTCTCCCAGTTTCTGGACGAGCTGATCTAGAACAGCAGAGATCCAGATCACAGGAACATGAGCAGCGTCTCCATCCATCAGCTCCAGTGGAGATCCAGAGATCATCATCTCTGCTGCAAGACTCGGGAGAGAAGATAAGTCTTTCAGGTCTTTCTTGTTCTTCTCCACAGATTCACATGATTCATAGATTTGACCAATTTCCCTCATGATGTGCTCCAAACCAAAGGCTGCAGCCTGAAGTTCCTCAGATATTGTCTCAAGTTCAGTTTGTTCAGTTTTGAGATACTGAAACTTATCACGATTCTCTTTCAGTTTTAAGACTGTTGACCACTTTACATCATACTTGTGGTGTAGAGCAGAAAGATCAGCTGATGTATGCTCATCCAGGAGAATTTTGAGCCATTTGAGAAAAAACATCTTCTGATGTTGATCATACAAGTTAATTTCTTTAATGAAGCGCTTTATGAAGTCACTGATGTGAAATTCATGCTGTTGGTGACGAATTTCTGTGTTTTTTCTTCTTATTTCCCTTTCTGTCTTATCTCCTTGAGGTCGATGCAGTTCTTTGTTCTTCTGACACCACTGATGCCACAGTTTCTGATGAGGCAGAAATGATTCTTTGACTTTTGTCAGATCTTTGTTCCCCAGTAGACTCATTATCTGCTGTGCTGCTTCTCTTCCTCTCCTGCAGTCATCATCATCTTCCTCATCTACTCTGATATCTGAGTGTTTGGACACATCTTCAAGTCTGAAAGTGGAAGACGATTCTAAGAGACAAGCGTTTATAGCTTTTCTGAGTTCTTCAGATACATCTGACTGACTTCTGTCTTTCAGACCAATTATGAATTTCCTTTTCTTCATCTCAATTACAGTAGATTTATCCTCAGGAAAAAGACAAATGAGTAGTTTTTTGTCTTTGTAGAGGTTTTTAATTATTGATGCATTTCTGTCATACTTGTCCGTTCGTGATAGAAGAACAACATTGACTGAGGCCATTTCAGTGAGGATCTGCAGCTGTTTCTCATGTTTTCCTGCATCACCGTGTAGATTACAGAACGCAACACAGTCAGTGAATTTATCCGTGTTTTTCCCAGAGGGGCAGAACCAGGCGATCTCCACCACTCCATCCATCAGGACTCTGGATGTGCTGCTGCCTGGGCAGTTCCTGTGGAAGAACGTGTTGTGTTTCTCATTGATCAGATCATTCATCAGCTGAGACTTGGATGAAGACACAGAGCCAAACCTGAAGAAAAACACCATTGGAGTTTCTGCCTTGTAGATCGGCTGGGTTTGACTGATGATTTCATTGTTGTTTCTCATCTTCCAGCTCTTCTTGATTTGTCTGAATGTCCAGAGAGGAAACTCAATCTGCCGTGTGAATGGATCAGGAACAAGCAGAGGCAGAGCGTACTGACACTGGGACAGTTTAGTCACCATCAGCTGCTTCAGGAAACCATCAGCACAATGAAACACTGCCATCTGAACATCCATCGGGTGAACAGGGTCAGACTGATTTGATGCTTTGTCTGACGGAGAGAGGTTTCCGAAAACATCATCAAAAATATCACTCTCTTCTTCAGAGAAGTCGTTGTCTGTTTGTTGTGTTTGATCCTGTTTGTTGGTCTCTTTAGTTTGAATGTATCTTGCTCTGTAGTTCATCATCAGTAGTTTTTGTATGAAAGTCTGAATCAGCTCCTTTTCAGAATAAAACTCATGGGACTGTAATGAATGTTCAGTTATCTGAAGAACATCTGCAGCTCTTAATTTATTGATGTGCTTGACTTCAACATGGAGTTTGCGAAATAACTTCTCCATTTTTACGTCTTTTCCTTCTGTAGGTGTTAATCTGAACAGATTCCTGCTGTTTCAATGTCCTTATAATTTCCCTGAAAAAGAGATTAACACTTTATTTACTATGGTGTTAAACAACAGAATAAATCTAAAATAATTAGGCTGCTTTCTCTTAAATTTTTTATTATTTCTAAAACTTTATCTTGTGTAGTTTTTGCCTTTATGGAAAATCAGATAACTGAAAACACATATAGGGCCATACTGTTCTAAAGAGCAGTATATGGCAATACAGTGCGTGCATAATTATTAGGCATATTGATATTCTGATCAAATTTTTTTCCAAGCGCATTTTACCAATTCCAAACCACATCAATTAATCAAATTAATAACTACTAATAATTTTGTATTTAATAATTTATAAGTGATATATAATTGTCCATGAAGGCTGGAAGTGAAAAACTCCTTATATTCAGTTGTGCATAATTATTAAGCAGGTTTTCTCTTACAGATCAAATGAGCCAAAAAACTGCTTTAACTCAGACTGAAAAGTAAAAAAATATTAAATGCCCATGAGAAGGATGCAGAAGAATTTGCAAAGTTAAGGCATGACCATTGGACAGCAAAATGCTCATTGGGTCAGCACGGTCAGAAAAAACAGGTGGAGAAGAAAAGACACGTTAACTGCAAAATAATTAAGGTGAATAATTAGGTGTGAAACCATCAGGAACCATTAGGTCTCCAGCACCATTTTTGTAGGGCCTCTGCGAACAGACACAAATGAACTCTCCGCATTCCACCGGAAAATCTAAAGATTCTCCTCCCCAGCCATCTGCGGTCATAAAACTAATACAGGGCCAGTTCAGTGTCTCAGCAGTTCCTGTTCCCTTTAGCTTATCTTCTCAAGAGACTCAAAGAAAAGCAGTGCTAAGACCCTAACTCAAACTAGGATACAAACTATCTTTGTTTTACGGGCTTTCAGGGACCAGATGCGTGATACCATGACCATTTAACACATAAATTGATAATCCCGTCAACAAAAGAAACAATTTTATATCTCCACGTCCAAATGAGAAGAATAGCAGGTCTATGACCAGGAACTTTTTACAACCTCCCTGACCTCAGGATTTTCTCTGTGATCCCCTTTCTCTAAATTCCAGGAAAACGCGTGCTTCTCTTCGGTCAGACAAAGGGACATAAAACTTACAACAGACAATTTCAAAAGACAATCATTTAAGTATAAAAATGCAACTATATTCACAAATAATATGTTGTATGCATTATATATGCTTGAGGTGTTAAAATGTAACCTTGCAACTTTAATCAATGTGTTTAACCCCTTTTAGCAGATAAAGCTATTGATAAGTTAAGTTTAGTGTTAAATGAAAGCTTGTGATAATTGCAGGTATGAATGAAAAATTGGTATCCGGCATCATTTTCTGGTGATAATATTGTTTATAAGAAGTTATTAAAACTTGCAGAAATACTCCCCACGGGAAACATGTGTTCCATGCCTAATCAGGGAACAGTGCGGGGCGTGGCTAAGCCTTGCAAGTAATGTCTGATTGGAACAACGATCTGGGGGACGGACTTATGCAGCGGATTAAAACTCAATTCAAAATGAATTCAACTGCCTTTCGGCTCTTTCGCATTTGTGTTAAGCGCGCTCCAACTTGCGCTTACAAACGGCACCATCAAGCGATCGGTCATCAAGAACTCAAACACTCCGTTGAAGCTTCATGAATGCCAGAGATCTTCGAAAGCCTAAAGTCTTGCAAACTTAAACTCTCTCAGAAGAACTGCTAAAGCCTCTGCGTCACCAGGAAACCAACCAATGGGGCTCTCCCAAAAGGACGTCATCCAGACGTCATCTCAGCAACCAATCCGGAGCTCCGGAACTCCCTCAGGCAACGAGGAAATCCCCTCCACTTCTCAGCTGTTACAAACGCAAGTAACGAACAAGGTCTTTTATCTGCTGAAATCGGTGCTAAACTAATTAAGCAGTAAACGTAAGACAAATCTCTGCTTTGTGATTCTCTCAGATTGAATTTAAAGAACTCGTGGAAAAACTAGTGTTAGAACTTTTGGAACTTCATGCAAACTCCGTTAACTCTCATTCTTCAGAACTGTATGTGTGTGTGTGTTTAGCTTAGTTCAGTGTAATCTAGAATAACCAATAAATTCTTGTTTCATTTATAAAGAAGTATTGTCTTGTGTCGTGAAAGTTAAAACTCTGCCCAGATCACGTTACCTAGCTCGTAGCTTGTAACTTATCAAAAGCATGTTGTGGCGAGGGGGGCATGGTTCAGCGAGGTCTGCACCGGGAGAGAGAGGCAGGAGACGAGCGGTGCGTAAGTAGGTCAAGCGCAAATGATAATCACCTGTGTCTCATTTCAGTAATTGGTGTGGAGAGACCGGATAAAAGGGGCCACCTGGAGCATGGAAGGCAGAGAGAGAGACTGACTGGGAACGCGAGCCACACGGGAAGCTGGGCTACTGGAGCACAAAGCATATATAGAGCTATATTCTGAGTTATTGACGGACTGTTTGAATGCGCAGTGAGTGCCTTGTTCTGTTGTATATACCGAGAGACTTAAATAAAAACTCGCGTCCCAGTACGCCAACCCTGTCTTCTTCCTTCCGCCCTCTTGAACCGTATCACACATGTATTAACCCGTGGCCAGGGAAAATACAAAATATTCAAATTGTTAATATACATGGACGTTAACGTCTTGCTGGACGAATAGTTGATAAAGTGTAAACTGTCAAATTTGAAATCAGTTCTAATCAGGTTGACTTTGAATCTTCAGATTCGATTCCTCTCAAAACCTGAGCTAAAATAATAATAATTAATTCCCTTATAAAAAGTTAATTTCTTACATTTTTCAAAACTACAACCTACCTGAAGTCTCCAGAAGTGCAATGTGTCTCTCACAACGTGGTTCTCAGAGACTTTGCTTGGGTAAAAAAATCCTAAAATATTACCCTCACTTAGGAACAATCCCATTTCTACACCTACCCCTCTGTTTCGCGCGTTCACGTGAAGGGGGTGTCTCTGTTCTCTTTTAGTTGGAGGCGTAGGGTTAGGGGGAAGGGCCAGATAGCCCTTCAAACGAAGATTTTTCGGGACCACACTTCAAACGAAGGGGTAAGAGAATTATCTCAGCATACAGCGGCAATGGCTGCCCGAGCGAACAAGAACCATGAATGTAAGCATTTTTGGCATTAACCCTCTGGGGTCGACAAAAGCACCGGCGCGTTTTGTGGCAATTCTTCCTGATAACACCTAAAGGAACGTAAAGTCCCCCTGTAGTCAAATATTTTATCCCTTGTTGGAACCATTGAGCATTATGTTGTCAGCAAGTCGTTTCCCATCGTGCTTTTGGTCAGCACAGCTGGGGAAGAGCAACTGTGCTTGACTGCACGGTTGACTCGCTGTTGCGAGAGATTTTTGGCATACGTCGGCATGACATCAGAGCAAGGCAGACTGCTCTGTATGCCGGTTGGACACATTTCCAACCGGCATACATCTTGTGATAGGTTCTGCGCAGATTTGCTCATCTCAAACGAGCCTACTAATTCTTTTTGCACCTGGACTAAATGTTTTCAAAAGTAATCAACCAATCAGACTTCCATGACTTACAGATGAAAATGCTACGTGAAATCAAACTGGCTGAGAGAGAAGTGCACTGGAATTCTTTTGACAATCAAAAATGGATCTGCAATTTCGTTACAATTTAATAATATTTAGCAATATTAATCAAATGTATATTAGAAATGGCTAGGATCCAAAAACAACATATTAGCCTATGGCTCCTAAGAGATCAGTATGCCATATTATGTCAGATACCTCAACTGAATTTAAAATCAGTACAATGAGTTCTCAATATGTACAATGATGCCAATAATAAGTAACAATTATAATGTTTCCTATCAAATCAACATCAAATACAAAATGTAATTGATACATAAGATATAACAATAAATGATGTGATAGAATCACTGTTTGGGCATTTATTTACATTTAGTCATTTAGCAGACGCTTTTATCCAAAGCGACTTACAAATTAGGACTATGGAAGCAATTAAAATCAACAAAAGAGCAGTAGCAAGTTTTTTTTAAATATATATATATAATAAATAAAATGAAAACAGAGAGTAGAAAAAGAATAGTGCAAGCTGTTAGAGGCCTTTTTTGATTCTTGAAGATGGCTAAGGATTCAGCTGCTCGGATTGAGTTGGGCTGGTAATTCCGCCAGAAGGGAACATTTAATTTAAAAGTCTATAAAAGTTATTTTGTGCCTCTTTGGGATGGCACAATAAAGCGACGTTCACTTGCAGAATGCAAGCATCTAGAGGGCACATAAGTCTGAAGTAATGAATTTAGGTAAAGGGGTGCAGAGCCAGTGGTGGTTTTGTAGGCAAACATCAATGTCTTGAATTTTATGCAAGCAGCTATTGGTAGCCGGTGAAAATTGATAAACAGAGGAGTAACGTGCATTCTTTTTGGCTCATTAAAAATTAATCTTGCTGCTGCGTTCTGGATTAATTTGAAAGGTTTGCTAGAACTGGCTGGAAGACCTGCCAAGAGAGCATTGCAATAGTCCAGCCTGGACAGAACAAGAGCTTGAACAAGGAGTTGTGAAGCATGTTCCGAAAGAAAGGGCCTGATCTTCTTGATGTTGAATAAAGCAAATCTGCAGTACCGGACAGTTTTAGCAATGTGGTCTGAGAAAGTCAGCTGATCATCAATCACAACTCCAAGGTTTCTGGCTGTTTTTGAAGGAGTTATGGTTGATGACCATCACCTTCAACTCAACCTTGCCAAGTCAGAACTGACTGTGGTTCCAGCAAACCCATCAAGAAATGTCTGTTAGACAAGCTGAGATGCAAGCAGCTATCGTCGGATCATCAGGATGGAATGAGAGGTAGAGCTGAGTGTCATTAGCATAGCAGTGGTATGAAAAGCCATGTTTCTGAATGACGAAACCTAATGATGCCATGTAGACAGAGAAGAGAAGTGGTCCA